CTAGAATATAGATACACACACACACACACACACACACACACACACACACACACACTATTGTTATTCTGTGGGAAGAGAGCCATACTTCTTCACAGTGGGAAAATAAAATGCCCATGGGTCTCAATTCAGAAGTTCTTTGTCAGGGGACCTAGGACAAGCCTTGGTATGGGAAACTAGTAGTCATACCAGGAAATATCTGGGGCCCTCACCTTCTGCAAGACGAAGGTGGCATAGTCTCCCACGTTCCTTAAAATAGTCTTTTCTCAATACTCACCTTTGTCAGTGCCTATTTACACTGTTCCCTCCCAAGGTCACACCCATCAGTTTCTTGAAAAGATGTTTCCAGCAGTGGTGGTTTGGGGTAGCATAAGGGAAATAAGGAAATGGCTGGCAGGCGAGTGGCAGGCCCAATAGCACACTGTTCTGCTCTCCACCTGCCCCTGCTGGTGGCAGCCCCAGGGTGTGTCCTGAGTGCCAGCCCACAGTCTTTCCACAGGAGTTTCACTCTGGTTTGGGTCCGTGTTGTCCTTGGAATTAGATAGTTTAATCAGTCTATTTTGTCCACTGGTGCCATTGGCCCATCTCTGGGATGAGGACAAAACCAGACTCAGATGTGGCCTGGGACTGAAAAGCAGCCTGGAGACCCCTCTCATTCCACCCCTGGGTGACACGAGCCCTTTCGACCTGTCAACAATGATATATACTCAGCAATCCAAGGCCAGGCAACACAAAGTGACAATCTGCTGATTTTCCAACCCAGAGAAAAGCAAAGGACATGATGATTTATTGATTTGAATGAAGCCCTTTCATTGATTCAGTTTCATCTGAAACACTACACATGTCAGGCATGTAGTAGGTGTTTGTGTAGGTTTATTGAGAGAATGTATGAATAGGTCTCCTTAGGTTTTTTACATAAAAAAGGGGAGCTGGCAACAAAGTAGACCTCTGATCAATATTTGGTTCTTACACCTGGGCAAGGATAGGTAGGTAAAAGTAGATTTAAAGTTGTTTGCATAAAAAATAATATAATAATTAATAACTGATAATACAAGAATAAACTCTGTTTCGTGTAGTCACAACTCTAAAACTACTTTTGCCTACCATTGTATATTTTAAAACCTCAGGCCATTGGAAAGCCAAATATTTCCCCTTTGCTCAGAGGAGAATTGACTTCATTTATTGACCTTATTATCTTGGTAGGAATGTCTTTTTGTTGTTGTTGGTTTTTGGTTCTACTGTCTCATCAAGATAAGTCAGTTTTCTTCTACGAATCTCAGCTAAGCCAACCACTCTGTGGACAGAGGGAGACCTGGGTATTTGGGGAGCTCATTTATACGAAAACACTTTACTTCACTTTAGAAGTGAAGGTATTGCCAAAACCGGTTTGGCTCCATGGATAGAGCATCGGTTTGTGGACTGAAAGGTCCCAGGTACGATTTCGGTCAAGGTCATGTACATTGGTTGCAGACACATCCCCAGTAGGGGGTGTGCAGGAGGCAGCTGGTCAATGTTTCCATCTCATCTATGTTTCTAACTCTCTATTCCTCTCTATGAAAAATCAATAAAATATATTTTAAAAATAATTTATGGGAAAGAAAAAAGAAAAGAAGTGAAGGTCTTCATGTCTTCCTAAATTGAAACTCTAAAGTGTCCCAATCACTGGGAGTATAAATGTTTTGGTGTTTTGTTTTGTTTTTTTTTGAGAAAATTTTTATAAGAGTTTATTTGAGTTTATATGTTAGGGACCAAGATCTCAAATACTTCCAGAGAAATGTTTCATTTTTCTCATTTTCCTTGCTTGGAGATCATTGTTGTGGGTTGAAGGCATAGGAAGGGATTCCTTGTCCTATAGTGGGAATCTAAATGAATCATCACTGTGAACTATTGTGGAACCCTGCCCGCTGACTTCAAACTTGTGGAAGATGGCACCAGAGAGGACAAACAAAGACAAAATCAAGATGGAAAAAGCTGTAATCAATACTCCTGTGAGCTGAAACTGGTTTTGCTCAGTGGATAGAGCGTCTGTCTGTGGACTAGAGGGTCCCAGGTTCGATTCTGGTCAAGGGCTTGTGTATTGGTTGTGGGCACATCCCCGGTGAAGGGTGTGCAGGAGGCAGCTGGTCGATATTTCTCTCTCATCGATGTTTCTGGCTCTCTGTCCCTCTCTTTTCCTCTCTGTAAAAAATAAATAAAATATATTTAAAAAAAATACTCCTGTGATATTTTTCCCTTCGGCTAAATGGTGACTGACTTATTCTAAACCACCTAGGGACTGACAGCTTTATGTTAATTTATGTTTTAATATCTGATTGTGTCACCAAACTCCTGTTTCAACGTGAGATTATTTCATCCCATCCAACTCAGCCACATTGGTGCAAGTGACTTAACCATGAAATAATGTCTAATTTCATGATTCTTCTGAGAACCAGCGAGAAAGCATTTCTACAGTTCTGTTGGGAAAAGTTGTTGCTTACAACATCTTATGGGATCATCCCATTTTCAATCCTCATCTCACAACTGATCCCAGTAGCCTTGTAAACATCTCAGAAATTTCAACATTGAGGTCTTTATATTTTTGAAACTGCCTCCTGCACTTTATGAGTGGCATCAAAACCATTTGGGCCGAAACCGGTTTGGCTCAGTGGATAGAGCGTTGGTCTGCGGACTGAAAGGTCCCAGGTTCGATTCCGGTCAAGGGCATGTACATTGGTTGCAGGCACATCCCTGATGGGGGGTGTGCAGGAGGCAGCTGGTCGATGTATCTCTCTCATCGATGTTCTAACTCTCTATCCCTCTCCCTTCCTCTCTATGAAAAATCAATAAAATTATATATATATATATATATATATATATATATATATATATACACACACACACACACACACACACACACACACACACACACACCATTTGGTAGTCCACATGGCTTTATTTTGAAAGTATGGACATTGAATTTAAATAAGAATTTAGCTATAAGAGCCCCAGTTGTTTATTGATAACACAGATAACAAAAGGATTTTCTTTCCAATTACATTCAAAGCCTCTAACTGTGGAATCTTCCTTGACTCCTTTCCTTCCTTTGATATCCCACATTTAATTCATTAAGTTCTGTTGGCTCTTTGGAAAGTATTCAGAATCGGGTCACTGTCACTTCCTACTCCCTGCTCCCTCCCCCCTTTCCCCCCTGCCCTGCACCTGCTCCAGGCAACCTTCTTCTCTAGTGGAGGCTCACTGGCCACCCTGCCCACCCTCCTGTTCATTCTCCACACAGGAGTGTGACCCTTCGTTAAAATGTAAGTTGGATCGTGTCATTCCTCATCGCCAGCGGCTTCCTGTTCCCACTCAGAGTGAAAGCCGAAGACCTGACAATGATTCACTAGGCTGGACTCGCTCAGCATCCTCTTCCTTCCCACTTCCTCTCTGACTTCGGACTTTTTCTACTCTCTCCCTTGCACCTTCCTCCCTGTCTCTCAGGTCTCCTTGCTGCCCCAGGAACATGCCAAGCACAGAGCCGGGCACTGCTGCTCTCTCCGCCTGGGGTGCCTTTCCTAGATTTCAGCGAGGCTCCCTCCCTCACTGCCTCCAGGTCTCTGCCTAACTGTCATCTTCTCCCAGAGGCTTCCCTGCCACCCTCCTCCCACCTCTGATTAGCATAATATGTTCACTTCATTATTGTTTTCTTCCTTCCACTGAATGTGGACAGAGGTCATGAGGGCAGAGACTCTGTCCCTTCACTGTGGGATGCCTACCTTTTGGAAGAGTGTGGAGATACCCAGTACATACTCACTGCATGGTTAGTGTCCTGGGCTCAAACCAGGGAGTGAAGTGCGGGCAGGGCAGGAGTGTGGGTAGTCTCAGAGTTCTAAATGTTAACGTAAAAAAACATTGAAACCTGTAAAGAATTTTTGTGAGTTTATTTGAGCCAAACTGTTGACATATACCAGGAAGCAGAACCTCAATGAATTGAGATAATGCTCCGGAGAATGGCAGTTACATTTATATTTATACATTGTGATCAACGGAAAGGGAGTAGGTGGTGGGTTACATGAAATCCATTGGTGATAGGCTAGGCTAGAGAGGCAGGAGAAAGCAAAGCAGTGCGGGGGGAGGGGGAGGATGGGGGGCAGAGAAAGAGGGACTCCCTAGAATTGGATAAAAAGTAAAATGATAGACACATACTTAGGTGGTCCAGGAACAATTAACATGATAATGACGGAATTTGTGGAATCTGACCTGGTGCCCAGCACATTAGGTTGTGGCCCCAAGGGGTCTAGAAAAAGGGAAGTTACAAGTTACCCAGACATTTCAAGGGGTATGTTATTATAGATGCAAGAAGACAGATAGGCTCACCTTGTCAGTGAAGATACCGGCCTAGGATGTAACTACTCACCTTAACTGCATTTAGTTCAAGTTTAATTTCAGACCATCCTTTGTGGTTACTTCAGGTCTCTGAGTTTGCAAGATCGACATGCAGGCTTCCCCTGAGCTTACCAGGTCAGCATGTGGCCCCTTTTGCCCACATAAATATTCAGGTGTCTAACCCACATTTCCAAAATAGCTTCTTATGCCTGGAAAGATTTTGTCAGGCCAGGACCCTCTCATAAAATGGGTCCTTATATGGGACCCTCCGGGAACTGGCTGTGTCATCCTTGTGTTTCCTTAAAATTCTATTCTTAGTGATTAATCTTTTAATATTAAGCATCAACCTATTTAATAGGCACTCCCCCCTACCCCTTAAAAAGCACCAAAGGGTCATTCCTGGTCAGGGCACATACCCAGGTTGTGGGTTCAATCCCCAGTGGGGCAACTGTTTGATTGTTTCTCTCTCACATTGATGTTTCTTTCTCCCTCCATCTCTTCCTTCTACTCTCTCTGAAAAGCAATGGAAAAATATCCTCAGGTGAGGATAAACCCCACCTGACAAAAAAATGTAAAGTATATAGACATTTGGATAACTGGAAGTGGCAAAGGGAAGAGCTAAAAGGCATTTGTGCTGGCTTCCCTGTCTTGATTGTCTTTCGTGTCCAGCCTCCAGGACCTGCCTTCCTGCCGTCAGGGTCTGAAATCCAGGAGCAAGTGAATGGGTATCACTGTATGCTCCATGTGCTCCATGTCTTTCTATTTGATGCTCCTGACAACACTGTGAATGAAATGTGCGGATGAGGAAATAGACTCTGGAGTTGTTAGTAGGATTCAGGCCAGCTCTTTCTAACTCCAAGGTTTTAATCGTTCAAGTTCATTCCAATACAAATCGCCCTGGCTACTAGCGCCCTGTCCTAGGCTGAGCACAGCCAGAAACAGAGAGAGAGAGAGAGAGAGAGAGAGAGAGAGAGAGAGAGAGAGAGAGAGAGAGAGAGGTAGGTCAGGACAGGTCCACTGGGCTCCAGACGCTTGGGTTTCACATCGCAGAACCAGTCTGGGCACTTAATGGGCCTCTAACCCAGCCTTGAGGTTACCCGTGGCACTTCTCTGGTTTCAGCGGGACACTTCAGCTCATAGCTTTCCTCTGAATTGAGCCGCTGAGTATGCGATGAGCACAATCTTAAAGTCAATCCCAGCGAAGGCTGTAGCCACGACATTTTTCTCAGCTTTGATAACAAGAGGCCCCGAGACGGCAGAGCTGGGGGTTGGCCTGGGTGCCGACCGCAGGCTCTGGTTCCCTGCAGACTGCATTCCGGGGCTTCAAGTGTCCTCTCCCGTGCACCACACATGTTTACCCTTTGCACACTCCACCCCTCTCCCTTCGACATGGCCGAGGTGGGAAGACGAAACCAAGGCCACTCCAAGCACAAGCCCCAGAGACTGCTGCTGTGCTGGGCTGGCTCTCCTTAGTGTTTCATGCGACCCCCTGGTGTATGGAGAACCACATGCACTTCAGAGGTGTACTGGTTTTCTAACAAAGGATCGTACACTGGGAGGCTTAAACAATCAGGAGTTTGTTCTCTTAAACAACGGCTCTGGAGGCTGGAGGCCTGAAATGGAGGAGGTGCCTGCAGGGCTGGCTCTCTCCGGAGCTTTGAGGGGGACACTGTCCCTCTCCTCTCCTCTCCCTTGCCTTCTGGTGACTGCCATCCATCCTCGGTTTGTGACAGCACAGCTCCAATCTCTGTCTGTCTCTCCATGGCCTCTTCTCGGTGTCTCTGTCTCCTGTGACTGTGTATCTCTTTGTGTCCTCTTTGTATAAGGACACCGGTCGTTGGGTTTAGGGTAAGGTGACCAGACGTCCCGCTTTTGGCGGGACAGTCCCGATTTTTAACAATGTGTCCCGCCTCCCGCAGCGTTCCAAAATGGGGACTTTTTAAAAACCCCGCGGGACAAATTGTTAAAAATCGGGACGTCTGGTCACCTTAGTTTAGGGCCGCATCGGCTTCGTGCTTCCATGCCCTCCTGCTTCCAAGGGGAGTCTGGGGCTCCACGTTCAATCTGTGTGTGTGTGTGTGTGTGTGTGTGTGTGTGTGTGTGTGTCCCGCCCGCACTTGGTGCTCACATGCCTTTGCAAACTCTGTCCTCTCTGCCTGGAGTGCCCCACCCCGCCTTCCTCACCTCTCTTTCCTCTCCATCTGAAAAACCCTTCCTGATCCTTTAGGCCTCTGACCCAGGGTGAGAGCCACCTGAACGCCATGGGGAGAGCTGACGGTGGCCTTTGTGCCCAGGTGACAGGCTGACTAGTATCTTTCTCATCCTCGTAGTCAACTCCCTGCAATGCTGGGTGCCCAGTTGGCTCGCAAACGCTTCCTGCAGGGGTTAAGCTGCTGAATGGAAAAGCCACAGTGAGCAGGAACCTGGTGGGAAGAGACCTGAGGAAGAAATAAAAGTCCCTCGGGCTTTTCTCCTGTGTCTCAGGTGGCTTTTAAATGAGATTTAATTGAGGTCAGGGAGGGGGTCTTGCTAGTGAAGAAGGGAGGGAGAGAAAGGGGGAGCCCCTGGCCTGAGGTTCTCCAGCCCCGAATACTGAGGTAAAGCTGGTAAAGGACAGTGGGAGAGCTGCCCAAGTCCTGGTTCATTCCTGCAGCCAAGTGTGGCGGGCATTTTGGTGTTGGTTGGTAGGGTCTGTAAGAGGTGTCCGCAGGGACCCAGTTCTCGGGCTCCCAGACTGAGGCTGAGCCGGGCCCGTCCTCCTGGAAAGTGACCCCTTGCTAGCTGGCCTGGCTGCCTAATGGAGGCCGCGGCAGACCCCGCCCAGCCTCTCTTTGAGGAGGAAAACGGCTCCTTATTGTGAGGCTCTCCCTCCTCATTTCATTTCCAATCATGTGAGCGCCTCTTCTGTGTCCTGCAACAATGCCGCCTGTTACTTGAAGCCAGGGGACACTCACAGGAGGATAACTGGAGTTGGTTGGAATTGCACGTGGTTTCCAGGCTCCTTTTATACTCTTTCGTCCGTTGATTTCCAAGGGCCCCAACCTTGTTCTCCAGACCATTTCAGCAGGAGGAGAGACCCAGCAAATGCAGCATTCCATCGATTGTCCCCCTCCCTGTCCCGCTCCGGGGCATCTGAAAATTACTCAGCTGTTCCACCTTGCCAGTCTCCTCCCCACCTCCCAGCCAGCCGGACCCTGAGGGGGTTCTGGGGCAGGGCTGGGCCTAGGCAAGAGGGGCAGGGAGCACAGCAGGACTCACAGTGTAAGGAGGAGCCCATCTCAGGGCTCAGAGCTTCCTTAGATGAGGTGCTCCAGGTGCCTCATCCCAGGCCTGGCTTGGTGCTGGGCTGGTGTGTATTGATAACAGGATGGGAGGAGAAAAAGAGGTTAAAAGGAGGGTAGAAGAGACAGTGCTAAGAGGACAAGGCAGGAAATCCAAAATCAACGGCAAAGTGAAGAATAATGGGTGCCGGGGACCGAGGGCAGTGCTTCAGAACTAGCATCCCCACAAGCTCTCCCACACACACAGCTCTGGACAGGCCACACAGACGTCACCCAGAGAACAAGGAGCAATAGGAAAACAACGCACACCCATCCTTCCTCGGGAGGTGTCCTGGGCTTCTTCTCCTGGGGAGGGGTGGGGGGGAAGGAATACGCAAAGTCATGTTCCTGCTGCTTGTACTCCCTCCTCTGACTTGACGTATTTTTCTTGATGTCACGAACCTCACCCGAGGCATGGTGACTCAGACCCTAGGCTGGGAGAGCCCCGAGAGACCTCTAGACCTGCACCGTCGCATGGGAGCCCCCAGCCACACCGGACTCCTGCGTGTTCACAGTGCGGCTGGCTAGCCCACACAGGCGAGTGCTGTAAATATAGAATGCACACTGGACGTTTGAGGACATGGTTTAAAATGAGAGAATGTAAAAATAGCTCATTAGGATTTAAAACAAAACAAAACAGATTTTATTGATTTTTTTACAGAGAGGAAGGGAGAGGGATAGAGAGCTAGAAACAGCTGCCTCCTCTGCACACCCCCACGGGGGATGTGCCCGCAACCAAGGTACATGCCCTTGACTGGAATCGAACCCGGGACCTTTCAGTCCTCAGACCGACGCTCTATCCATTGAGCCAAACCAGTTTTGGTGCTCGTTAGTGTTTTTAAAAAGATTGATTACATGGTGAAATGATGATGCTTAGGATCTACTGGGTTAAATAAAATATTATTAAAATGAATTCCCCTATTTTTTTATTTTTTATTTTACTTCCGTTAATGTGGCAGCTGGAAAACGTAACATTACAGATGTGGCTCCCATTTGTGGCTCAAATGACCTATCTATCGGACAAGGCTGGTCTAGTTCAACTTCCTCCTTCAAAAGAGGTGGAAACTGAGGTCCAGATAGAAGACCTGATGTGGCAGATGGCACCCATGAAAAAGCAGTTATTTTCCCTTTCCACCCATCTCTCTCTCTCTCCCTCCCCCCCCCTCTCTCTCCCTCTCCCCTCCCCTCCCCTTCCCTCCCCTCCCCTCTTCCCCCTAGGGGTCCGGGAAAGGAGCAGGTGGGCTTACACACCCATGGCTGCAGGCCTCAAGAGAAGTGTTCCATGACAGTGGCTGTGGTTTCTTGGGAGTGACATAAAAATCTAACGAAGGTGGAGGTATTCTCTCCCAAGAAGTCACATTTTGAAAAAGTTGGGGAGCCCTGGATCTCCCCTGGTTAATTACATTTGCACATAACCCAGGCTGGGTTACCAGGTGTGCTGCTGGGCACCTCCATAGCACAGAGGCCTCCCCCACAGGCAGCGGGGTAGAGCTGCGCCTGAGCCCTGACACGGAGTGGGCAGCCACTTAAAGATTGTTTGACAAGTAAACAAAGACAAGTTTCAGTAGGATTGGCTTGATAATGGGAGAGGGGTGGGCAGCCCGAGGGAGGGGAACCAGATACCAGAGGCAAATTCCTTTATTTCATAATTTTATCTGGCATCCCCATTCTCCTCCAGCCGCTCTGTGAGGCTCTGAGAGAGACGTTAGGGAAGCTGAGAGATAGTGATCTCTCCGCCCCGGGGCAGCACTAATGGGTCTCATCTGAGGACACTGCTGACAAGCGGAGTCGCCACCTACCTGTGGACCCGCCAGCTAACTCCGGACGCCCGGTAAGTTTTCCTGGGCCTCTGCCTCGCTTGGGCTGGGGGGCCCTGAGCAAGGGGAAGGCAGGGGTAGGGAGGAGTGGGGTGGGGTGGGGGTGTTGGGGGCACCGCTTTCCTGCTCCTGGCTTCCCATCCTTCCCAGCTCGGGCGAGGAGAGTCTTGGAAAGACAGGGAAGGGCCACTTGGGGGCCAGCTCTCCGTTCTGGTTACTCGAGCTAACACTAAGTTTGTCTCTCTCCCTGTCCCCCACCTCCCACGGGTGGTGGGGCCCAGACATGAAAACAGGTGCCACCACCTGGCTAGCCCTCACCCCCGGGGGGCAGGAGCGCCGGGCGGGGAGCGCGGCTGGCGGTCGGATGGAGGTGGTGGTGGTCGGGACGGGTGCGCAGCCCGCCGGCCCCTCGCGGTGACTCGGCGGCGCCAGGACACCGGCGGCGGCGGGCCGGGGCGGGGCCGGGGCGCCCTCCTCCCCATCTCAAGGGTGACTGTGCCGCTGACGTCAGGCCGCTTTGGGCTCCTTCCCTGGCGCAAGGACTTTATTTTCATAACAGCGTGCAGTGCCATGGAACTGGAATGGGCGTGTCCTTCCCCCCTGACCCTCTCCCGCCCCTTGTCCCTCCGCTCACCTCCTCGCCCGCTCGCTCGCTCCCTCCCTCCCTCCTTCCCCCTTTCCCTCCCTCCGGCGGCGGCCGCCTTTATAACTGCTCGGCGACTCGAGGGCGGGATCGCTGTCGTGGGCTGCCAGCGCCAAGGGGCTCGGAGCCGCCTCGGACGCACGGGAAGCAGCGCCGGTTCACGCGCCGGAGCCCAGGCATCGGGGTAAGGGGGGCGCACGGGGCCCGGAGCGCGCCCC